GGGGGGGGGGGGGATCCATGTTTCACTCGTCAGTCACTACTAAATGAGTAAATGGATTGAATCAGTTGGTTGATATGAGAAAATTGCCTTTCGTTCAGCTTAAAGTTGTAAAACATGAACCAAGACAAATTATATTTCAAATAATCTTTTTTCCTTTTTCGGTATATGTCTATTGTATCTAACTTTTTGTGAATGCAATTGTTTGGACTTAGAATTCAGTTGTGCATATTATATAGGCATTGTCCCATTACCTAATATCTACATTTGCCATTGTAAAGATAAGAGAAAACATGTTAGTGACTTTGTTAAGTGTTATATGTTGGCAAATAATTTTGAGTCATCTAAGCTGGGTAGCTATGGAGTCGAATTCACCACTATGATTCTGAGGGCGTGATTCCTCAACTATAGATTCATTGGAGTTCTTCACGGGCTGTCCTAGTTTTGAGAGTGTTACAACTATTGTTACCTTTCTCAAACAAAGAAGAAGAACATGTTATGATTATTGGCATAGAAATAAATATAGAGTTTTGATTAAATAATCTAGCTAGAATAGGCCTGTATGTAAAGAAAGCAATGTACTGGGAGCTGGAGGAAACTTGTGAATAAGCTAAATATATTCGATAAAGGAAAGGAAATACTAATTTGTTTGGAACTGAGGCGTAGTTGTTGTTGTTGTAAAGGAAAGGAAGTGACAAGAGGTAAGGATAGATTTGATGTTGGTTGTTAGGTTGAGATGATGTATCTATGTACAAGAAGTAAAGATAGATTTGATGTTGTGTTGATAGGTTGAGATGATGTGTATATGCACAAATGTATGTCTATTTGTAGCTACTATGTTTTGGGTCTCAGCCTCTTTCTTTGTTGTACTCCGGATTCTTGTGAAATTTTAGCGCATCATGAATAATGTGCAAGTGGCTATTGGCTTGATCAACTGTTCATTCTATGTCTATGAGCGATGCTGCCTAATTGTCTGTGTCATATGTTCAGTCAGCAATAATCTATCCCATTTTTGTGGAGAGCAGTTATTGATTGTAGAATCGATCATTGATTAAAAGTAGTTTTATTAGTAATTTCAATTCTTCCCGTGCCCGGAGGTGGTTGTTCTATTTTGATCCATAATTGTACAACCACGTACAATCCAAGTTGTTGAGTCTTCGCCTAACCTGTACTCCATGAAAGCTCATTTGTCAACCATTCGGCTAGGCAGCTAAGGTCAACCTCTTGATCATCCAACTTTGCGATGGCAAGGCTGGGTGCACATTTTGATTTTTTGGAATTTTGGCATTAACACTTTGTCCCCGTAACCGCTTGAAAATTTAAAAAGTTGAAGAGTTCTGCCGTGTTTAACACCTAAATTTGGATATCATTGGCAATTACCAAAGGTTATGACTGGTCTTTTCGGAGTCTGCTCTTCCTAGGAATATTTGCTCCAGTGATTACCTTTTGAAACTCTCTATAAACTTTTGCAATTGTTATGACATATTCTCACCCCTTTATGTACTCTTTGCTTCATTGTTTTCCCCTTCTAACTAACCTTCGATCACCCTCATCAATGCCTTTAATTATCTTCCCTTTCTATCTAACTTTCAAATCATCCACTTCAATGGCTACCAGATAATCTCCTTTCTAAACCTTTCAAGAACCTGTAGCCTCCAACGCTTTAGTTCCTTTTCCGCAAACAGAAAAGCTTATATGTTGGGTCCCCTCATAGTAGATGATTTTGAGAAGGGATCTTCAGACAGACCATCTCTATGTCCTGTTTGCCCTATAACATCTCACGATCTCAATGGTTCACCATAAATAACTTCCCTATACATCTCAATGATTCTGTACTTCCGTAAGAATTCTAGTGACCGTGGGGATTGGCTTATTCATGGTGAGAAGGCCAAGGCAATGATTGAAAGAAACAAGAAATTTACGACATGGTACAATTCTCCCGTTATGACATCCTTATGGATATGAAACCAATCTTGTGTTTTTTTTGGATTTTTGTCTTTATTTCAATCAGCAACTTACTGCTTGTTTTGGAGTGATGGGACCTACTATAGAGAATGTGATAGCCATTATTTGGCTCTCAGCAGATGGAGATGAGGCTCTAGCTTTATGCGATTAAGTCTGAGGATATTAGTTTCCAACAACATCAACAACTAAGCCTTAGTCCCAGACAAGTTGGGTTCGCCTATATGAATCCTCACTGGTTATATTATTGCATATAAATTATCTCAGGCCAATAATATACAATATAAAATAATAATTAGAATAAAACTAAAAAGTACTAGAACCTTGATATAAGAAATAGTAAAAAGTACTAGAAGTTCTTTATATTTTCTACTGATGTATAAATCTCTGAAAGACTACACCTCCTATAAAAGCATAAGACGTAAAGTAAAAGTGCTAACATGACTAAAACATATTCTCAATTAGTAGGTCTCTCTTATATAGATCTTTTTCTTCCACTTTGCTGTATCTTTCGCTATTTTTGCATGGATCTCAAAAGATTGTAAGTCTTTCGAGATAACTTCCTTCTAAGTGATTTTAGGTTAACCTTGTCCTTTTTAACACCTTTACCCACCATGGTGTCACATCTATGCACTGGTGCATCTGGCGGTCAACGCAAGACATGACCAAACCATCTCAAGTGACATTGTCTCATTTCGATCATTTCTAATCTTGTCAAATCTTGTATGACTGCACATCATCTTGACATACGCATCTCTTCGACACTCATCTTGTGGATATGCAACACCTTAGTGGCCCAACATTCACTCACATATAACATTGCTGATCTTATAATTACTCTATAAAACTTACCTCTGACTTTCACAGGCATCCTTTTATTACATAATATCCCAGTAACACTTCTCCATTTTAGCAATTCGATTTTGATTATGTGTAACATCTTCATCTATCATTGCATTCTAAGGATATTAGTTGCCAAATTTCTAAATCGGCCTCCTCTCATTACTTGTTCTCGAATAACAAGCAAGACATTTTGGACATGCTCAGTGGCGGTGAGCATTAGACCTTCCTCTTCCACAGGCTCTGAAGTACTATGTTTGTATGAATTCCGTGGCTGTCATACTTGACTACAAGACTCTTTTACCCTTGCCCTTTTGCTTCTTTCCTTGCATTGTTCTAAAACAATTAGTAGACTCTTTGATGGCTCTAGCTCTGGATTACACATGTATTTTTCTCAAGTTCGATTCTTTAACCTTGCATGAGGAGCGAGATGAAAGCTACCCACTTATAGGATGCGTCGAGGTACCTAATTGCGAATCATTGGCTCAGTAAGCTGCCTCCTTGCTTCTTGATGGGAGAAAAAAGAGTCTAGGTGATTTCTTTTTCCGGAAAGGAAATACGATCATGTTTAGTAGAGGACAGGCGCAATTGCTTCCCAAGAGAAAGGCTCGCAAAAATTGTTATCAGTATACGAGCACGTTGATGGTTAGGGATCCCCTTTTGGGGTGTGAAATTGACGTCTCGACGAAATATAATTTTCATCGAACATGTATTCGTCAATGTTAATACCAATTTGGCCCGATTCAAAGTGTGTTGAGAAGCTATTCTTTGCAGAGTGGCTTAATAGGCTAAATACTATGGCTGATGTAGACATAGTGGCAATGTTCAGCTTTAAGAGAGTGAGTTCCTTTCAAGATCTGGCATTTCCTACCATGTTGGTGAGGCAGTAAGTATAAGCTTTGCTAGTCAAAGCCATATTCCCTGTCTGCACTGGCTCAACTCATATATGGACATATCAAATTGAAGAACCATGGGTTTTAAAGAAGCAAACAGTGTTATCAAAGGCGAAAAGCGCAAAAAAGCTCTAAGGTCCGTTGGGACTTTAAGCGCAAAGCGCAAATAAAGCGTGGGCTTTAATGAAAAAAGGCGCAACTGGAGAAAAAGTAAAAATATGTATATGTAGTCCAAGACTAATAATTATAAGCATGAAAAACAAATATATGGACAAAGAAATTGGGAAAAAATTATGATAAAGTGAAATATTAATTGTTTAATGTCGTCTTTTCATGATTGCACTCATTGGCAAGGAATAGTATGCCTTAGAGCCTTGATGCGATACTAAAGCGCCCACAAGGCGAGGCGAATCGCTCAACATGTTTTTAGGGCTTAAGCGAGCCTTTAACAACACTGGAAGCAAATGCATTGGTTGCCACCCCTTTTAGACCCAAGGCTTCTTTTCTTCTGCCAAAATAAGATTCTTTGTCTTTCTCATGCATTCCGGTACTTACCCATCTTGTTGACCCCATATATTTAGCGTCTCGCAGCAAGAACATCCTCTCCATCATTTGTTATTGATGTTGACAATTTTAAGCATCTCTTTGGTGGAGTTTTGGCAGGATCATTATGTAGGCATACTAGACAGTCACACTGCTGCTGCTTGAATTATTACTTTTGCCCCTCCTGCATTGGGGAATTTAAAACGACCTCTACCCGAAGTTGATTTGGCTGCAACAGCTAGGTGATTGGACCATCCGACTATTTGTTGTTAAACAGAATCATTGCCATGTCACTCATTTGTTACACCCTGTTCTTGAGGCTTGCTCCCTGCTAAAAGATCTTCCTCTCTGTCAAAGAAATCGGGAGTTCTAATTTCAGGCGCAAGTTTCTTCTCTCCTGCTCTTAAGGCCCAATTTCCCACTACCGTCCAATGAGTTGATGGAAAATTATCCCCTTCTACTGGTCCTCTTGTCCCTGGTAGCTCTCCTTCTAGTGTTATTAAAAGTCATCTCTTCATCGTTTGAAGTGCAAAGTGAGGGGTTATCGTTTCATGGGCGAACTTTATTGAAGAGAGCACTTCAAACAATGACGCACAAAGTGATCCCAACAAGAAACAGTCAGCTCTTCGAATCTCAACTTTGAAGAGTTGGATTAATATTGACATTTTTGTATATTTGGGTACTGAGATTATTTATTTAAACTGCAATTTGATCATTATAGTACTTAATTCATATGTGTAACATCGTGAATTGTGCATTTCACTTCAAAGAAGCATGCGCTGCACATCTCGCTTTTCGCTTCAAGCCCCATGGATCTTGTCGCTTTCTTGCGCTTTTCACTGTTAATAAAACTGTTCCTTCTCTATCTGCTTGAGTTAGTGAACTGGTATATGCATGGCCCTATTCCATGAACAAAGTGCTGTGGACGCTATGAAGTCTGTTTTAATCAGGATTACATCTTGCATCTTCCACACTGCATTTACAATTGAAATGGTCATATAGAGTATAGCTTCTGATATTCTCAGTGATAGCCTTTTAACTATAAGCCTATAAGGCCAACAAAGAGCATGAACAACTCAGCAAGTTTGAGTCGAAACTGTAGGCAGACCGTCAGAGCAAGATGCCACTGTATTCTTGTTCCGTGAGTAGTTTTATTGGTGCTAACTGTTAAAAACATACTTGAAACCTTGATGGCTGAAGAGTCAGTTGATGATGCATAATCTAGGACTGTTCTGAAGTTAGGTTACAGGAAAGCTTAACAATTAGCAGAGAGGAAAGGTTTTGCTTGTAGTTGTAGATGGACAAATGATCATACCCTGTTTTATTATTGCTTTCTATTAACTGTTGACAATATTCCGGTTTCATTATTCATGCTACACGGAAAAAAGAAATGAAGGACCAAAAAGTAACCATCATCCTTGGATGCTTGTGATTGTTACGAAGTTACCTAATTCCTTTTTGTTATTTTTGTTTCTTGCGAAATAATACATTATGAAACTAGGCTGCGAATTGTGTGTAAACTTATAATGGATTTGCACATCGCATTTCAAATTGGGGGACTTATCAGACACTGGGTTGCTCAAGGTGGGCATCCTTCTCCTCTTTTTGTTTTATTGGACTTCTTTTGGAGAAGAAGTTTGGTAAATGCTATAATTACTGTGGGATGCAGTGTACATTTGCAATAAGTCTTGATTGATGTTTTTAGTTTAAGCTCTTCACACTTGATTGCTTTGTCCTGGTCCCAAGGATGATTCTGTAATATTTAGTTTCCTAGCATGTAGTCTTTTCTTGAATACAGGGGCACTTTTCCACACCCACCCTATAGTCACATGGCATATATATGCAACATATATTCTGCCCACCATTTTACACCATAATTTACTGCTGCCATCTCGTCTAAATGGCTGTGGTTTCTTCACAAACATGGTAAATGGCTTCACCTACTTAAGAAACTTTTATTCCTCAGATTTACCTGCAGTTAATATTCCTTTGACAAAAATTTGACATGTTCGTTTTTTCATCAGGTCGACCTTCTAGAGCCTGTATCACATTTTTTGGAATCAGCCCGGGTAAATTTGGCTCCTGAAAATTTAATGGTGTCAGAGTTGCACAAAGCTGCCAATTTTTATTGTGTTCCACTCCAGGTACAAGTTGCTGCCTTTTCACTAAAAAAGTTATTCCCTTTTTGCTATTATCTGCTTATAGAACTCATTTATGAAAGCATAATAATTGATATTTGATATTTGACTAACATTAATTATTGCATTAAAGTTAGGTAGATTTATATTGTCAAGTCAATAACTTGGTGATGATAAAAGTGCAAAACATAGGAGTATAAATAAACCAAAATATTATTAAAATAATACCGGTTCCACTAAAAAATAAGGAATTTCTAAAAACAAGAGATGAATAAAACAAGTATCCGTTGTAGGCATATAATACATAAATAAAAGTGTCCCCTCTAACATATTAAGATTTTAGATGTGGTGGTTACACAATTAAACATGGTGCTAGAGTCAGTAAAGGTCCTAGGTTCGAACTTACAGCTACCTGTCGACAAAAATATTTCCACGTGCATATCTCATTAAGAATAATCAGACCTCCACATGATGCGGAATGTTGTAGGCATATACAACGAATTTCTCCTCTTTAACAATTAAATTTTTAAAGAAGTGGTCACACAATTTAACAGTTTGGATTTATACAAAAAAAGTTGGAATGTAAAAGAACCATTTACTGTTTGCTCGGTTCCTAATTCATTCGGTAGATTCTCGTGGATCTGCCTGCTGAATTTTATATCATGATCTCCGAATAGCAACAATCCTACTATTCTCCTACGATTTTAGTCTGCAAAGATATCACCAAGCTGCAACCTCATCAGAATCAGGTGATAAAAGAAATTTTATCCCGTAATTATTTCTTTATCCGAGCCTCCTAGGTACAACTAGTGCTTGTGGAGAGAACGATATTTTGACGTTTCTGCTGGATTGTTGAATTTGAGATTTCAGTAATGGCATGGCTGGTGTTGTTTTCACTTATATGAGTACGTTTCAAACATTGAAGTATCATCAACATTATCATGGTCCAAACAACAAAATAAATATGGTAGTACAAGATTTAGTACATTGCTTTTAGGATTTCCAGCTTTCATCAGATAACATTATCAATAATGTCTTGGTGGCCTCATCTGGACAGGAAAGTTAGGGGCCATATAAAGGCAAGTTAGGATTCAATTGTAGAGGGCACCTTTTCGGTTAAAGTCTATGGGGACAAAACCGTGTCGTTCCAAAGACTTGCAAGAGTTAACAATACCTTGGCAGTTGGACTGAGGTCGTTACAAGTGGTGTTAGAGCTAGTAACCCCCTTAGTATGATGGTCGGAAAAACCTCAGCGAGGAGCCGAGTCTCTAAGGGAGGGGGAGTCGGTGTAACAGCCCATGAGCCATTGGCGGTTGAAATTGAAAGAAGGTTCATGGTGAAGCTTGACAAATCTCATATCAGGATGGGAAGTGAAAGCTAGGGGCCATATGAGGGTGAGTTCATGATTCAACTGTTGAGCCGCATTTAGCCAGAGGGACAAAATAGTGAGGCCTCAAAGTTGGGCCTTAAGGGACAGTACCTTGGCAGTTGGGCTTGAGCCTTTACACTCATCTTAATCCAAGAGTGTACTAGTGCGTTAATAACTATTTCGACATTCAGAATTTGCCTTTCTTCAGCGAATGCAATTGGGGAGGTTAAGACCATCACATCCCATAATTTGGTAAATCTGATAAAGAACACCTTAGCAACAGTGCAAACTCATATAGATGCTTCTTGCTACCGTCATAGGTTCAAAATTCTTAATGCTTGTAACTCATCCTTCCTTGATATGATTGTTTGAAGGAAGCATTGGCCCTCTTTTAAACTTTTCCAGTGGCTTGAAAAGAACGGACGGTCTCCATAGCATTTCGTTTGACCGAGCTTTGACAAAGTGAAACCATTAGGACCAATATCCACATCATAGAGCATTATCTTGCTTAAAAGTTTAAGCAAAACACAGCCCTTATGGATCATGCAATCACTGACCCGTCTAACCTCCGCGTTTGTGGGAAGTAGGACATATATCTAATTTAAGTTTTTTTTTTCACTCACCTCTTCAGTCATCAAATTGGAAACATGTTGCTTTCTACATTTATCTTTTCTTTTCCCTAGGTGATGCATAGGCAGCAGGTGATTTACTTTAACAATGCAGCTGTTTGTTTCTCCATGTAATCAGTCTCAAAATCAGGTGAAAAGAAGGAAGAATTAGTGGTAGGAGGTCCTATGATCAATCAGTATCTCTTGAGACATGGTCATTTCAAGTAATGAAGTCCTTATTGCGGTAGCTATCCCTTAGCATTTGATACTATGATTTCTGGAAGCAGAGAACAGAGAACAGAGACAATAGTATGCTATTCAGATTAAAAAATTTTTAAAAAAAGAAGACAATAGTATGCTGTGTTGTAACTTCTGCTGAGAACAAAATTGATTCCCCATTTTGCGGTGTGAAGAAAGAAAATAGATATTTTCCTTTTTAAACTGTTTCTTCTGTTTTGTTCTCCAAAGAACCATTTGCTGCTAGACAGAGATTTCAGGGAATTACGTTTTTAAAGAGATTCCTTTAGGCTTTTTCCATACATATCTCAAAATTCAGTTATTTCTAGTCATAGCGTGTCATCATGATGCATTCAAAACTTATTGCTGATCCATTGAGCTTAAGAACGAATCTCACTAGCACACCATATCAACCTCTGGTCATATCACTTTCTCTTATCTTCGAATGATTTCATTCGAAACAGTATGTATATTGAGTGAAACATTTTTCACGGTAAATAAATATGCAGCGCGTGCGCACACACACACACAAATGTATATGCATATAAATTTGAAACTTAAACTGAAACATTAGCTTATTGCAATTCATAGTATCTGTCACATGCTTATGGTTTGGGTGTTTTAAAGGTAAGTCTAGTGTGTTTATCTGACTCGTGCTTGCACTTTGTTTCCACATATTTGAATTAGAAAGATTACCGTGGTTTTGGTTAGTGTCTTACTTCACTTTTAGGCTGTTGCTTACTCATTGTTTTCCCTTTTCTTTTTTCTTCAAGGAATTTACCCCTGATGCTGAAAGATATGATGTTATTTGGGTTCAGTGGTGTATTGGGCATCTTGCAGATGATGACTTCATTTCATTCTTCAAGAGAGCAAAGGTGAAGTGATCTTCTAAAATGAAGTTCTATTAGGGCTCGATTGTAATAAGTAGCTATTGCACTATTCATTATGTTCATGATCCAGTACAATGTGAATATTTTGCAAGCTACATTAGCTTATGAAACATGGGCAGTAGTGCCAAAAAGCAACAAGGTCTACACGGCGAAGCAAAAACCTGAAGCGAAACACAAGCTCCTTTTGAATTGAAAATAACAATTTAGAGAAAATTTAAAAAATACAGAACATATTTAAATCTATTACTATAAAATAATCATATTACAATTAAAATAACTAATCTCAGCATCCAATATAAATAAATCCAACTATTTAAAGTTGAGATTGAAAGAACATAGCTCTTCTTGTTTGGATCATTTTGCGCGTATTTTTGAAGCATGCACTTCTATGAAGCGCATGGCTTCACCCATGAAGTGATTCGCACATTGCTTTAACTGACAAAGCAATTGCTTTTAATAACACTAAAACATCATAGTTTTATTCTTTATAAAAATCTATTTTCCTGATCAAGAAAATCTTTTTAAAACTGTGATTGATTGAGCTTGCAACAACTTTTTATCCCGAGCCAACAGGCTATGCCATGTAGTAGATTTAGTTTCTGCTATAGCTTTGTTTCTGCAGGTTACTGCAACTTCCACTGTAGGCAACCGATAACCATGTATTCTACCATTTCTGAAACTAAAAGCTAGGATTCATTTTATGCTAGAGTGTCAGGGAGAATGCTTCCAAGTACTTGTTTTTCCACCCCGTAGCATAGCAAGTGATCCGTGGTCAGACAGGACCTTAGTACTTTCTTTGCTGCTATTCTCAACAATATGAACTTTTGGATTACTTAGCTCTCCATCCTTATATCCAGTGCGATTGAGAGAATGCGACTGGGCTTTTTTAGCTGCTAGGATTTTCACATCCACCACAATCTCGATATCCTCTTCATTCAACAATTTGTCAACAACCTTCTCAACAATATATCCTACTTGATTGCAGTCCCTATCGCTATCAGTAGAATGCCAGCTTGTGAACAATCTATACTTACTTCCGTGGCATGACCTTTTTTTTTTTTTTTGAAAAGGTAAAGCAGCAGAACTATTGTGCTGTGGTTACATCCCAGCAAAAAAGACAAGAAAGAAAGTAAAACCATTTCTGGCTATGTAGTGAATGTAGAAAGTCTAACAGGGTTTCAAATTCATTTATAATTTCCAATGTATAACAAAGTAAATCACAAAAAATATATTCTGATTTAATTTTCAGAGTAGAGCTAACCTTCAAAGCATGTTCTGTTTCTTTCTTTCCATTGGCTCCACCATTCTATCTTTGCTGTTTTAGACATGCCCTTCCTGCTCCGATATTTTAGCCAAACTGAGGCAGACATGGCATAGCCCATTGCAGCCCTGATATGTTTCAAAACATCTGCCAAACTTGTGCTGCCATTGTGCATGTTTTTCAGCCTTATAGTTAGAGATTTTGCATCTTCTTCTTTGTTTTCCTTACGCCTGGGATGTATACCCATAGCCGGGTCATGAAACATATTCTTGTGCATTTTATAAGCTTTTGTTGTTTTACTTGTTTAGAAAAATAGGTAAATTCTAATGAGATTTAGTTGTTTAGCTGACTGGGGTATGTAGTTGGAATATGAGACCTGAATCATTCTGTTATAAGATCTCTTTAAGTTATGCACGGGGATAGAGAACAAAGTACTTCTGCTCTCTGTGTTGCAAAGGCCATAGATCTCTCTTATGACTGGCATAATTGACCTGCATCAAGATCGAGATGAAAAAAAAACACGATTCTTTTGATATAACTTACACTTTTGATTAAGGAAAGCTCGTGCTCCTCCCTCTACCCCTTTTTTAAGTAAAATCTATTTGTTATCTAATATGAAAGAGCTGCTTGATCATATCGGATACCTGATAACTCATTGCCCATAAGTTTGTCCACTATAATGGTCTCGGCGAACATCATCTTAAAGATGCTTATCTCAGGTACTAGTACTTATTCCTTTATAACGCCCAAAATGTGTAATCCGAAAGAGTTACCTTATCAAAAAAAGTGTAATGCTAAAGAGTTATACTTGTTATATTTTTTTATCTTTATCTGTTTTCTGTTTTGGTTGCTTTTATCAAGGATTGACAGCTGTGTGAGGGACATGGATTTTCTGAACTTTAGTTTTGTAATAGAATACCTGACATGTTTACTTGTTCTCAATTAAACCACATCTGATTTTTTCTTTTCTCCGATAAAGCAGTTAAACAGTTTGTTTTTATTCTATTTTTCATCTAGGTCGGCTTGAAACCTGGTGGACTTTTTGTTCTAAAAGAGAACATTGCAAAAACAGGTATCATCTCTTTGACTTCTCTGTTATGTGGAAATTAGTATCACCTACTTCCTTCTCGTGTTATGTTATTTCATCAAGTTGGGCACGATTTTCGGTTCTGTTGCTTTATAAAAGTATAAAACTTGAAAGGGAACTCTTATGTTTTTAAAATGATAAGTGTAAAACAACGATAAGACTCTTGGTGTTTTAACCAACAAGTGAAAGAGACACTCGTTAAAAGTAAAGCACACAAGTAGAAAAACTCTCTTAACATATAGAAATAGAGTAATTATATCATAACATTTGCTATTAGCATTACTAATCAAAAAATCCAAAATAGTGATAATATCTATCCTGACAACTACAATTAGCAATTTGATTTAAAAAATTCCATGAAGATTAACTTCAATCCCAATACTTACCCTTTCAAAAAAACAAAAGACCACTTTAACCCCAATTTTAATTAATTGGCTATAAAAGATCAATCTTTTGAGATCATATTTAACTGCTATAGTAACAATACTAAATATCATGTGCCAAAATCTTCACCCACCTTGATAGCAGAACTCATATTGAGGAAATCCCAGTGAGCCCTAATGTGTTTCCATAAACAGAGACCGAGAAGGAAGGAGTTGGTTTGGTCATCCAAGGATTGAGAAGCCCGTACTTGGTGCTGATTACACCTCTCCTTACTGCGGTTTTTACTTCTTGATTGAACCTCCGGATCCATTTGCTCAACAAGATGGTGTTATGAGTCTTCAAATCTCCGAGTCCCAAACCTTCTAGTTTCTTGATTTTCGTGTCAGTCTTCCAATTGCCCAAATTTTAAGACTTCTCCTTATTCCCTTGCCATGGAAGTCTGCACGGATTTTCTCCGAACTCTTAGCTAGCGTTTGGCCATAGATTCCCAAATTTGTTTTAAAAAATATGATTTGGGTGAAGTTTGGTTTGAAGATGAAAATCTGTTTGGATATCATTTTCCCAAACATATTTCACTTTTTTTTCTGAAAAAACATGAAACGTGACTTGTACCCATAAGTTCTAAAAACTATCAAAAATACCCAACAATACCAAACAAACAAACTTGCTAATCATGTATATGCAGAACCTTCATCAATGCCATTCATTATCATTATCACAAACCATAGTCTTGAACATAGATAAGTTTGGCACAAAATCATTATTTTTATAATGAACTACATAATACACTATCCTAAAACCATAACCTGATATTTTAATATCAACTGCTAATAACACAATCACTAGCTACAACAATTCGTTAAATTGTAATAATATTACAAGATTTACCAGTCCAAAAAAAATGATAGTAACTATCTAGTTGATTAGTTGGGTCATAATAGATGGAGCGTTTTTTTATAAAATACAAAAGTTTGGGGTAATTTTTAAAATTGTTAAAAAATTCAAAGGTAATATTTTTGGCCAAAAACAGGTGTAGAGCTAGATTTGGGATTTGGAAAATTTGTTTTCAAAATCTGCCAAAATATGGATAAAATCTATAAACAAACAGGTTTTGCCAAAAACATTTTGACAAAAACTTGGCAAAATCTATGGCCAAACGGGGGCTTAGACGCCTGTACGAGCATGGGGAAAAGAGCTATGATGTATGTGGGTAAAGAATCCAACATACTGTTGATGAGAACCAATCTATCTCCCAATGAAAGATATGGTCGAATCCAACATACTGTTGATGAGAACCAATCTACCTCCCAATGAAATATACGGTCTTGTCCAATTTGACAACTTTTTGCATTTCTCCAAAATATCATCCCAGATTTGATTTCCCACCTAGTGAAGCCCCAAATAGTTCGTAGGGAGTGAACCAATGTTGCAGCCCATAATATCTGCCAGCAAATGCATATTGGTGACAGCATGCTTATGACTCTTTAATAAGTTAATGTGAAACCCTGAAACAACCTCAAAATTCACAAGACTCAGTCTCAGATAAAGGACTTGATCTACCTCTGTGTCACATGAGATTAAAGTGTCGTCTACTTAGAGAATATGGGAGGTGCAGAGTACGTGTAGCCCTCTATACCCTACTGAAAATCCCGTAATCCAACTATTTTGCACTGCTGAGTATTGAAACCTTCCATCACAAGTATAAAGAGAAACCCAGAAAGGGTGATAGAGAATCACCTTGTCTCAGGGCCATTTTTGTGGGAAATAATCTGTGAGGACCATGAGGAAAATTATTGATAATCACAGATAATCTGACTATGGAAATGCACCAACAAATCCATTTGATACATTTATTGCCGAAACCCATGTCCTTTAGCAATTTAAGAAAAGAAGCATATTGTTTAAGATTCCATGTTTTAAAATACATCTTGTCTGCAGGTATATCAGTTCCTTTACAAAAATAGAGAATTGGTCGTAAATGTATTATAGTTTAAAACAGCAATTGCAGGGAAATTGATCCTACAGTGAAAGGACGTAAGGTGATTGTTCAGAATATCCCTGCTTTCCGTAATGTCTGGTCCATATTATTGTTTGGTTGGGCATCATACAGTTTCCATTTGTTTACTGTGCTGAGCTTTAGTTTTTGTTTCTTGATTTGATGAATTTCTAGTTAGAGCTGAGTAAGTTCTTGACTCCAGTTTTCTGATGTTATGGGACGTATATATAATGATTGAGTTGTAATGATATGCAAATTAACTGAAGTATGTAACCTATTTTAAGGATTTGTCTTGGACAAAGAAGATAAGAGCATCACAAGATCAGATTCATACTTTAAGGAGCTGTTCAATCAATGTGGACTATACATCTACAAGATGAAGGTAAAGATGAAGCCTTTACTTCTAGTTCATGTGCCATAAGGGAAGTCTTGAGAAAAAAGGGAAAGTTTATGTGTCCTATTTTCCATGTCATTGGAATTTTTTATTACTTAGCTTGTACAGTGCTTAGGTTGTAACTTTTAGGAAAAGAATGTTTTCTTCTAATGGTTTCGGTGCATCATTTTGTCCCTCTTTCTATAAGACGGAGGTGACAAACACAGCATTACTTCCATCTCATGTGCCATATGAAAATCATGATTTTCTTCCATGGTCACTAACTTTGTTACTTGGTTTTAGTAGTGCATAACATTTTAACTGTCACAAGATGATAAATTTCTTCAGATGGGAGCATAATTTTGTTTCGTCTCTGCTGATTCCCATTAGCAGCAAACATTTTCATTTTCTCTGCGCTTTTAGCAAGTATTGCATTCCCCTTTAACCCTTTTTCTTGTGAAGCTGATCTGTTTCCATGATAGAAGCATGGCGATATTTTAGATTTATTTCTTATTTATGACCAACTTGATGTCTTCGATAAAGAAGAGGGCAGGCCCTCTCTGATATCACCATTGCATTAGACTATGATCCAAAGAAGACTAAACAAAAGGGCAGCCCGGTGCACTAAGCTCCCGCTATGTGCGGGGTCCAGGGAAGGGTCAAGCCACAAGGGTATATTGTATGCAGCCTTATCCTGCATTTATGCAAGAGGCTGTTTCCACGACTCGAACCCGTGATGTCCTGGTCACATGGCAACAACTTTACCAGTTACGGCGAGGCTCCCCTCCATCCAAAGAAGGCTATGAAACGATAAATACTAAAAGAACATCCTACTAATAACAATTAGTGGAGTTCAGAAGCTTAAAAGAATGTTATCAAAGATTTTAGTGACACTACTTTTAGTAACTAACATGCTGAACTACAAACAACAACAACAAACCCAGTATGTTCCCAACAGGAGGATGAGGAGGAGGAGAGGAGGAGGAGAGGAGGAGAGAGGGAGATAAAGGATAAGTAGTACCAAATAATAGCAATAAGGAATACAATACCTGAGGCGAAAAAAACCATAACTAAGAAACTCCCTACTAACCTTCTACCCTGATCTTCGACCTCCACCCCCTCCTATCAAAGGTCATGTCCTCAGTGAGCTGAAGCAGCGCCATGTCCTGCCTAATCACCTCTCCCAAGTACTTCTTAGGCCTACCTCAATCTCGCCATGGCCAACCTCTCACACCTCCTAACAGGTGCATCAATGCTTCTCCTCTTAACATGTCCGAACCATCTCAGCCTCGACTCCCGCGTCTTGTCCTCCACGGACGCTACTCCCACTCTGTCCCGGATAGCTTCATTCTTAATCTTATCTCTCATGGTACGCCCACACATCTATCTCAACATACTCATCTCTGCTACTTTCATCTTCTGCACGTGGAAATTCTTGATTGGCCAACACTCAGCCCCATACAGCATAATCGGTCGAACCACCACTCTATAAAACTTACCCTTAAGTCTTGGCGACACATTCTTATCACATAAAACACCGGAAGCGAGCCTCCATTTCATCCATCCCGCTCCGATGCGATGTGCGACATCTTCGTCAATCTCCCCGTTACCTTGGATAATAGACCCAAGATACTTAAAACTAGCTCTCTTAGGGATAACTTGAGCATCAAGCTTTACCTCTACATCTGTTTCATGGGTCCCGTCACTGAATTTGCACTCCAAGTATTCTATTTTGGTTCTGCTCAACTTGAAACCTTTAGACTCCAAGGTCTATCTCCAAACCTCCAACCTCGCGTTAACTCCGCTTCACGTCTCGTCAATCAACACTATATCATCGGCAAATAGCATGCACCAAGACACCTCCCCTTGGATGTGTCATGACAGTACATCCATCGCCAAGGCAAATAAAAACGGGCTAAGAGCCGATCCCTAGTACCGCCCCATCACAGCAGGGCTCCCACAATTCTCACCCGAGTCTTAGCACCATCATACATATCCTTAATCACCCTAATGTACGCTACCGGAACACCGCTAGCCTCCAAACAACCTCCACATAACCTCACTCGGAACTTTATCGTACGCTTACTTAAGGTCAATGAACACCATATGCAAGTCCTTCTTCCTCTCCCTATACCGCTCCACTAATCTCCTTACCAGATGAATCGCTTCCGTAGTCGAACGCCCTGGCATGAATCCAAATTGATTCTCGGAAATAGACACGCACCTCCTCACCCTGGCCTCCACCATTCTCTCCCAAACCTTCATAGTGTGTGACTCAACAGCTTGATACCCCTGTAATTGTTGCAATTTTGGATATCACCCTTGTTCTTGTACAACAGAACCATCGTACTCCACCTCCATTCATCGGACGTCTTCTTCGTTCTTAAATAACATTAAACAACCCAGTGAGCCACTCCAAGCCTGCTCGCCCCGCGCTCTTCCAGAATTCCACCGGGATTTCGTCTGGCCCGTCGCTCTGCCCCTGCACATCTTACGCATCGCCCCTTCCACCTCCTCTACTTTAATCCGCCTACAGTTTCCAAAATCCCGCCGACTCTCGGAGTGCTCTAACTCACCCAGCACAATGCTTCTATCCCTCTCCTCGTTCAACGTAAGTATGTCTGCCATCTTCTTCTAATAAGTGCCTCGTCCATCAATACTTTGCCATCCTCGTCCTCGATGTGCTTGACTTGGTCAGAACATGCTGAACTACTGTTAATTATTATTTGGAAATCGTAAATGACCTTATGGAGTCGGGAAATGTGAAAGAATGATATTCAGAATTTGTGTGCCTATCTTTTTGGGTCTAAAATTCTAACTGGTATTATCATTTGGAACTCCTACATGGCCTTTCTCTTCAAGCTTGATAATCAAGCTTCTGCTTTAGTTGGTGTTTTTTTCCATAATAAAATTGATGGGTGCTTATTTCCCCCCTGTTGTAATCTTTGTGGTAGTACCTTGTCGTTCTGAATTTGCTTATAATTTTTCTTACCCCGCATCAGCTTTGGAGAATGAAATATGAACGTGATTCCTAAATCTTTTCTCTCGAGTATCCTCATCTAGATACAATAATAATATTAGCTAAATTGTAGTTGGAAGTGTGTAACGCTACTTCTAATTTGTGCACTTTAGCTTATTATAGGTTACTTCTTATGTTGAATTATTTATGCAACCACTTTTGTATCAATGTATTCTTCTGTTCTTGTATGGTTAAAAGACCCAAAGAAAAAAGAAACGGGTTTGCTTTTCTTTTATGCAATTCAAGTTGAAGGATGAAAAAATAATTAACCTGAAATTTGACCAAGGTACAGGCACTTAAAATCCAACAGCTAATAATGTGTGTATACAAAAGAAAGTGTTTATTACCATTTTGCCTTAAACATCTTGAAGACCTTGTTTCCCAATTTATGATGTGATAACTGGCTGAAGCGTCTTGTACAATTAGATTATAAAATACTTCGAATATTTATTAATACAACTAATCGCAGAGAAGGATTCACTTATTATTAGTGCAAATGATTTTTTGAAATAATGTTCAAATTTTTAGCGAACAAGATCTAATCTCGTCAAGTGGGCTTATTTTATTATCTGAAGTTAGAGTTATAAGTTCTAATTCGAAGTTTTCTTTGAAATTACATTTTTTTTTATCGTACCCATTTTCTGGAAAAGTAAGCAAGTGGTTTTGAAATAAAGGAAAAAAGAAATGAATTTTAAGAATGCGACAAGTTTACTAAATCGAACGGTTTCTTTTTAAATTTGAATCGTCCACCTTTGTTGATTTTAGTTACCTGTTAAAAAAAAAAAAAAATAGTAATCGTCAATTAATTTAAGAGAGTTGAAATGATTTTTGTTAATGGAAGGACAAAAAATTGGTAACTTTACTTGCAACCTTTTCCCATCCATATTAACGAATCCCATTATGGTTCTTTAATTTAGCTCTATATCTGAAATTTAATATTTATATTACTGAAATTCGTTCAACTCACCGAAAGTTGAGTAATGAGAATATCAAGCTTCTTCTCTGAATGTTATATATATATTATGCTTAGAAAATTTATTTATAACCTTACTCCTTAAAACAAAATATGTCACGACTCAAAATCCCTCTGAAGGAGTCGTGATGGCACCTAGTCTCTAAAACTAGGTAAGCCTAACATTAACTGAAATAACGACAATGTTTACTAACATCGAACAATTTCGAAATAAAAATCTCTATACAATTTACAATCCCAAAACCGGTAGTACAAGTCATAAGCCTTTCTAGGAGAAATTTTACATAATGAATACATCACTGTTCTGGAACAAAAGGAAACAATGGAAATAAATACAATAGAAGGTGACTTCGGAGCCTGCGAACGCCCAGCAGGTGTACCTTGAAGTCTCCAGCCTCACCAAGCGTAAGTTTCAAAACCAACTCATCCGAGGTACCTAGTTCTGCACAAAAAAAATGTGCAGAAGCGTAGCATGAGTACAACATGGTGGTACCCAGTAAGTGTCAAGCCTAACCTCGGTAAAGTAGTGACGAGGCTAGGTCAAGACACCTACCAAACATATAAACCTGTGCAGGATATAACATAAAGCTAACAAGGAAGGAATATCAAGCAATACCAATAGCAAAAAGAAATAAGATTACAAACAGTAGTAGCGACAAGGAAAACACGACTGGCAACAAGAAATAGTCAAGTAATTAAACAACAATATAGTTGGGATACATATAAGTATAAATGTGCTCAAGTAGGGAAAACGATGTCAACTCAACCAATCAAATCGTTTCTAATACACGATTCCAATAATCCCAATTCTCGTAATCTCATACCATAAATCACATCTTCCAAACCTTTAACACACACGACACCTTATGCCCACATCTTTCTATCTCACTTTGCATGGCAAAATTCACGTGCTACTCGGTACATAATATCCGTGTCAAATGCTAATTAAGATGTTCACGAGATTCCATCTATATATCATAAAATAAATTTACAGTTTCTAGACCAAGTAGAAAATCAACGAGAAAGATGAGTTTATTTTATAAATCATTTGAGTGAAAAAAATAACATTTTCAAATAAAATACAACATTGAATAAGCTATTGCATTTAATATAAATTTATTAAATTAAAACATAATAACAATTCCTTTTTAAGTAAAATAAAAACCTCAGACAGATTAAGGAGATTAAGTTGAGAAATTAATTGAAATAAAATATAACAATTATTAGAAATAGTAAATACTGAAATATACGGCGAGTTCTAACTCAAAAGTCACACAAGGTAGCATGATATTAATTCTTTTATTTTAAATCACTATATTACTAACAACTCAGCAGAGCGGGAACTACTGACTCAACGTAGTAAATTCACCTTGAAAATCAAT